GGCTGCTGTGAGCCCTGGGGTTGGGGGCTGTGTGGGCCGGGCACTGAGGTGTCACCCGGTCCCTGCGCCAGAGCTGGGGGCATGGCCAGCCTTCCCCCTGAGGCCCCCAGTTCCCATTCATCTAGCCTCTGATGAACGTAACCTTTAAGAATTTGTATTGGTTAGGCTATGGCTGATTTTTGATCTTTAGGTAATTGTATGTGTCTGATTTTTATCTAATGTTTATACTTTTATCAGGACATACTCAAAGATGAGGAAGTATTTTGTTCATGTGCACTGTCCTGCTTGGTGATGGTCTTGTGTTTTTCCCACTTCAGCAGCATGAAAATCAAAGGATGGCTGGCTAACAGGCATTTAGAGCAAAAATAAATCTTACATCTCTTGGTGTATTTTCCTGTGCTTGGATTTAAGTGATTGGCTAGAGTTTTGGGTTTTTTGTTTTTTGTTTTTTAAAGACTTAGGAGATCATATTCATTTAGGAACCATTAGAAAATGACATTAAAGAATTTACCAAATTCAGGGTAAAGGGTGATTATTAGGAAAGGTTCATTTTCAAATAAGATAAAAAGTCATCAGAAAATGCAGTGTTTTTGAACAAAGTTTTTTTTTGGGGGGCTTCAACAGATATCTCTTCTCCCCTCTACCTGCCCCATGCCCAAATTCTGGAATGTCTGTTCTTTTCCAGATTCTATCTAACTGTACAATTCGGCCTTCACATCACTGAAGTAGTTTATTTATTCACTTATTTGTTTATTCGTTCAACAAACGTTAAGTTCCTGTTTTACGGATGAGATGAATGGGACATGATCCCTACCCTGCAGAGAGCTTGCTGTTGGGAGGGGCTCCCATAGAGACAGGTCAGCAGAGAAACAGGATGATGTTATTGGCGCTGTAGTGTGTGTGTTGGAGGTGATACAGTGAGGCAGTGGGCATTTCTGCCTGCAGTTTCAGAGGGAGGAGATCATGCTGGAGCTGAGAACGAAAGGTGACTAGGTGTTCGCCAGGTGGACGGTGATTTCCTGGGGGAAGGACAGCACAGGGAAGGTTCTGGCAAAGCAGTGTCTTCAACTCAAAGCTGGTTAGCCTCAGGAGCAAGGGAAGGGTGCAGGTGAGGTTCTATCCTGTCATGCCAAGGAGTTAAAACTATTCTAGGCAAAGAGGTCTCCAAATTAGCTTTGCTGCCTAATTATGAAATTCTGGGCTAATCTGCTGTGTTTTCATCCAGGTGGCATGTGAGAGCGAGGGGTTAATAATGACGAGATACCGTATGAGGAGTGACCATCATCTGTTCCCTGAAACGCTTCTGATCAAGGGTCCTAGTGGACCCTCTGCTTGTCCACTAGGTTTTAGTCACGCTCAGGAGACAGTGTGTTTTTGGGTTCAGCTGGCCTCGAGGACACAGCCCCTTTTCATCCCTGCCACTGACTCCCTGGGCAGCCTGCATGCATTTAACCATTAGGTAAATGCTTCTGAGTCTTGGTTTCTGTAGTGTGAAATGTGGATAATTATACTTATATTTGCGTGCCTCATGGGACTTCTCCTTAATATTTATAGCTGCAAAATACTTTGCAGTCATTTTTATTAATAGTTACCAGATGTGTCGTAAGGATTAATGAACTTATGATCTGAAATGTTTTGAGCTCTTGAAATAGGAGGCAACCGCCTGCACAAGGGATATGTAAAAGAGCATTAAGATGCAAACAATACCATTTGGAAATTTTAGCTGTTACATGTGAAGGACAAATGACACACTGAAGATTTCAGTACGCTTTGTAGGTATTTTTGGTACCCTTGCTAAATAAGGTTGCTGAATTCACCACAGGCCATTGCCGAATACAGAAAGCTGGTACCCCCAACCCCAAACCTCTCACCGTCCCCTTCTTCGCGGGCACCGTCTTGAAAGATGCCCTGCCAGCCTTCCCTGCGTGGTGTCCAGGTGTTCAGTATTCTCCTTCATATCTAGATTTTCATCTCTATTTCCTCTGCCTCTTGCGATCCAAGTTCAGGCTCTTATATTACTGGCTCTCCACTAAACCATCGCAGCAGCTGCTTAATTGAACTCTCCAAGTTTTCTCTCTCCCCTATTTAGGGATTAATCATTTGTAAGCCTAGTTCTTATTGCCGCTTCATTCAGTATTTCGATAGCTCTTTACTGCCTGTGAAAATCCACCATCAGCTTATCCACGAAGGCCTTCTCCACATGCCCCCGCCTCGCTGGTCGATCTAGATCACTCTGTCTCTCCCAAGACCTCTTGGAAGATTGAGTTGCTTTCTCGAGCAGGAAAGTAGAGGAGGGAACACATCAGACTCAAAGGGCCGCCTTCCTTCGTCACGCTGCTCTTGACCTTTGAAGTGTCCCTTGGCCCTGGGAAAAGCCAGTCCGTCTAAAAGGCCTGCCTCGGAGTGAAATCACCCTCGTGGAGATGCTCTAGGCCCAGGTGACCCTTTCCTCCTTAGAATCTTCTCTGCTTTAGAAACTTCCATTCTGATAGCTGTGGTTTCCTTGATGTTTTCTTACTTGCATACACATCCCTCCCCCAGACTGGCTGGCCACTCCTGTGAGAGGAGTCCACATCCTTCTGATCTTGTGTTCCCACAGCGCTACTGCAGTGCCTTCCTTGTGCACCTGAGACTCGGGTCCTCGTTGAGCTGAGTGTGTACAGCGTATCAGGGCCCCAGCTGACTTCTTCGTGTCAGGCAGTGTTATGGAGAAAACTGAAATACACAAAAGCAGAGTGACTTGTGTATTTGTCACCCAAGTGCACGGCCCATCTTGTGTGTCTGAACCCCAACCCCTTTTGCATGTGCCTTTTCTCAACTGTCCTCTGTTGGAGAAGTTTCTACCCTTGATCCTCTCTTGTTCGGAGTAACCGGGAAACCACTACTGCCTAGCATCCCTCAGAGAGAGGCACCACGAGGTTACTGACGTGTGAGACAGAGGAGTCGTTGCGGTCAGAGCGCCTGAAGTCTCACTCAGGCCCCACTCAGGGTTGATCTGCTCCTTTTGTTGGCACAGAGTTTAGCCATTTCAGACGTGTCTCATCACCCAGTGTCCTGGTTTGCACGTCATCCCAATGGTGGGGGTTGGGGCGGGCATGTCTGCAAAGCCCCGATGTTGCCTGGCCAGGAAGTGCTCACTGAGAGTTGAGTGGTGGTGAGGGGTGGACCTGAGGTCTTTAGCCTGGGACCACCTATGCGGACCCCCTGGATTCCAGCATCGCGTCCCAGTCAAACTGACCCTTTAATTCATTTCAGCAGGTATTTTTTCAGGCATTTGCTGGACTTTTCCAGTTACTCTGAATCATAAAAAAAAAAAAGCTATAAATCACGTTTCCATGCTCTGTTTAGGACATACCGTATCACCTTAGGAAAGGCATTACCCTGGCCGGCTGTAGTTCCATCCTTGGTGGGATCTTACATTTTTATGCTTTAAAGGAGCATGTTTCACCCCAATCTTGGTCTGTTTTAAATAAGATCAAACTGGAGAACGTAAGTATTTTGGAGTTCGAGCTTAACAAACTTTCTTTCTGCCCTTACTGAGAAATAGGCTCTGAGCACCACCCCATGTGGGGGGATTTCAGATACTCTGGGGAGACAAAAACAGACAGCAGGCCCCACACTGAGGGACTGTGAGGCTCAGGGAGGGGATGTGCCTGAAACGGAGCCCCTGGAGTGGGGCTGGGGTGGGGGCAGTGACATGTGGTGGGAGCTGCCAGGAGGTTCTCCCTGGTCAGGAATCCACGAAGGGGTTAGAGGGTCTGGAGCCTTGCTGCCTGCAGGCTGCCCTCCCTATCCTGTTCTGCTGGCCACTCACATTGCCTTCCTTAAGCTCATCTCTGATCCTCACTGGCCTTCAGCCCCGAGGAGCTCCCAGGTGTTTGCAGGGTCAAACGTGTCTTCCCTTTAGTTTACCTCTAGGCCCTCCCGTCAGTTTAGCCGCATCTCCTGCTGTTTCCTACTTCATCGCCTCTCCTCACATCCTGTTGCTGGTCCCTTTACCTTCACCAAAAAGAATCCTTCCTTGCACTTCTCTCCCCAGGTGGTCACAGGGCATAATTGGGTACAGCGGTACCTTTGCTGAAACACGGTTGTTTGATGAGTGAACTCAGGTTAGCCCCCCAAGTGGCTTTCTGATTCCTTTCCTTTTCATTTACCGGTACCTCTTCACGGCCCTTTTCCTTATCCTGGGGCTAATTATTTTTTTACTCTCTCTCTCTCTTTTTTAAATGTGCCTTGAGCCACATGTCCGTAAGTGACCAAGTCAGTTCTTGGCGTGTTGCTCGCACCCGTTAATTCAGGCTCTTACCACCTCACACACGGCTGGAGTCTGTGATTTCTCCAGCCGGTTTGCCTTCTACCAGCAGAGTGGTCTTCTCGAGTTCTGCCTCCTTTGCCCGGGCGTCGTGGGGGTCTGGCGTTGCCTGTTAGTCGTTCCCCACACCGGAGCCTCTGTCCACATCCCTGTCCTGCTCCTGGTGCCCCAGGCTGAGCTCCAGCCACACTGTCTGCCGTTCTGCTCCCTTCCTGGGGCCGCACTGCCCGCGCTCCTCTCGCACCCTGAGTCTCCCTGGCGAGTAAAGGCTTGGTTGAGATTCCACCTCCCCTGGAACCTCTCTCGATCTTTCCTGTCCTGGTCGCATCTCTGTAAAGTGCGGTGATACTTGTGTGTACAGACACGGCCCTTGGTTAACGTGTGCCTTGGGTGAAGGGGGAGCCTGTGGCGTCCAGAAGGCCGCACACTGTGCTGTTTTTAGCACGTGTCTGGTCCTGCTCATGGAGGGGGAGCCACTGGCTGTGCCCCTGACTTCCTGCACGTCCTTGTACACGGTGCTGACCCCAGCCCTCGGCATGCCAGTGACTTGTCAGAGTTCCTGAAAGTTGTAGATTCTCTTCGAATGGGTCCTCCTAAAGCTCTCCTGTCTGTTCGGTTGAAACCTTCTCTGGTTACCTCTGCTCTGCTTCTCCTGATCCCCGTGCCCGCCGCTGCCCTGTTTTCTCAGCCCGTGCCCCGGATCACCGTGCAGTCTGCCCTCCCGGAAGTCCGGGCGCCCAGGATGGCGGAGGTGAGTTGGTGGGAGCAGGGGTGGCACCTTTGCTGGTGGCTGCCCCACATCCGGTGGGTGGCCCCGGTGCTCTAATTGTTCAGTCCACAATGTGGTTTTTTATTTTAGCATTCCTGTTTTGATAATTATAATATAGGTCATTGTCTTCTCCCTCTATATTTTGCTTGTTACACTTTTCTATTTTCAACTTGTTAATCATATGATTGCTAAACTTTTAGATGCTTGACTGCTAATGTAGTCTGTTGCTTTAATAGCCCACTGCTAGGCAAAGGCGATTTCTATAAACAGAACAATCTCCTTATTCTAAGTGTTGGCTTAATTCTCAGTTTTACATTTCATTCTGATTCATGATATCAGCGTGAAAAGACTGATGCTAAGCTGGGGAGAAAATAGTCTCTTATGATCTCCCACAGATGAACAGCACTTCTCGTCTTATGAATAGCAAATCTATTTTCTCCCACTGTGCGTTCGTTCTCTTAGGAAATGCTGTATCTTCATAGGAAAAAATTTACTTATTAAAACAATAGCAAAAGAGGCCAAATAATTTGAAAATTCAGATGTCCGGGGATTCACTCCTTTTTCAATGCCCCTTTTCAATCCAGGACATCCTTGGCGTTCATGAGTTTAACTGAAGGGAATGCCGTGGCCCCCCACGTCCACCCACCGTGGTCTTATTTATTATTTTGTGGAGGTGGGACTGGGGCCCCAATGCCGGTGCGGCAGAGTGAGACCGCATCCCTTACTTGCAGGCGCTGCCCTGCGTGGCCTGTGCACCTCGGGCGGCTTTGCTGTGCACCCTGCTCATTGGCCCACATCTGGGCCTCCCCAGCAGCCTTGGGAGTGTCAGTGGTAAAGTGTAACCCGATGATGACAGGGAGGTTCCCACTCACAAATCAGCTCCAGTCAGTGGGGAGCGGCAGCCTGCAGTGCCACGCTGGCTCGGCAGGAAAGACGCGTGATCAGTGCTCTGCTCGTCTTCCGCCGCCTCTCCACTGTCGCTGTGGGCCTGAGCCCTGAGCCCTGACTTTTCACTTACTGGAGGCTTTGGATCAGTCCTTTAACCTCTCTGGGCCATGTTGTACAGTGAATACTTTCTGGCCCATATCAGAGGGTTCAGTGGAAGCTTATTTGGGTAACAGCAGGGAGTGCAAATACTGTCTCCAGACTGTCCCCTCCTCGGGCTGACCCCGCTGCCCTTAAGCAGACAGCAGGTCCAGCAATGGTGGGGTCTTACCCAGAAGGAGGAAGGGACGCAGGCTATGTCAGGACCATAGTTATTGTTCAGATTCTAGACTCTAGTAATTTGTGTATTCTTCCCTGCCTGGTCAATGATATTAAAAATAAAATAGAAAAGAATAAATAAAACATGTACAAGTTGCAAAAGAAAAATGATTGAAGGATTGCCTAATCTTTTAGAGTATTTATGCTGGTGACAGTTATTGATCTATTGGATTTAGTAAATTTTGCAGCCCAGAGATCCATCACAAAAATGGGTGGTTGATCTCAAGAGGTGCCGTTAATTTCGTGCCCCGAGAGTGTGCCTTGTGGGGGGAGGAGGGCCTCTGGAGACAGGATTATAAATGACAATTCACATGAAAATGCATGATTTATCAAACTGCTGAGTTAAGCCAAGTAACTGTAAGAGACTTATAGATCTCAGCTGTTTCCCAGTTCAAATAAATCCTGTATTTCAAATGGAAAATGGCCATTCCTGTAATATAAATAATCTTTCCGTAAATATTGAAAACATATTTCTTTTTCTGAGCAGCACCCTCTCCCCCACACCCAGCCCATTCCCTACTCCGACTGTTGGCCCCCCGGCATGGTGCATCGGGAATAGGAAGATAATCCGCCTGCTCCAAATGGCTAAAGTTATCAGTAGAGGAACACCTTAGAGCACCTCAGAAACCGTAGTGTTGGGATGAACAGTGGGTGTCGTCATCCCTGGGAGAGGGGGCTCTGTGTGTCTCTGCCAGAGTGACTCGGACACGGTGACGTGACAGGGAGAGGCTGGCCGCAGCTCTGTCCTCGCTCGGCCCCTGTTTCTCCCTGACCGGTGCCGCAGGACCAGCCTGAGCAGCAGCTGGAAGGCCTCTCAGAGAAAGGGCACAGCCTGCAGGCAGCCTCTGTCCCCCCCTCCTCCCCCGCCTCCCCACGCCAGGCCCCAGGCTCGTAACTTCCTGCCACAGCTGGCCAAGCTGTGCGGCGGCACTTCAAGGGCCTCCAGTGAGACCACCGTTTGGGTTTTGCAGGAGGAAAAGGCTCTCCTGGCCTCTGCTCATCCTCTCAGTCTCCCCAGGAAGTCACTGTCGGGCAAGGGGAGCTGCTTCCCCGGGAGCAGAGTTCTTAGCTGAGTGCAGGGACGGGGGAGGCTCTGGGGGATAACAAAGGATTGAGATTTGAGTGTGCGTCTGCTGTGTGCCATGCTTGAGTGAGGGCTTCCTTGCCCGACTGGTACCGCACCGGCCCGGTGTGGCCGTCCCACAGTGTCCACCAGGTAATCCTCAGACACCAGCCGGGTGTCCTACAGTTAACTCCACTCTGACCCCTGAACCTGGAGACAGTGTCAGATTCCACAGGGTAAGGGCTCACTCCTGCAAGATGGCCCCCACTTCAGATGCCAGTCACAAGTCCAGGTTGTCACCAGTACTTCTGAACAGCGGGCTCCAGATCAGAGTGTCGCATGGCCCCCTGCTCAGGTTCAATTAATTTGCTAGAGTGACTCAACGGAATTCACACATTTTACTTAACTAGTAATCAGTTTATTATAAAAGGACATAACTCAGGAACAGCCAAATGGAAGAGATGCATAAGGCTGGGGGTGGGAAAGGACGGGGAGCTCTCTGGGTGCCACACTCTCTCCAGATCTCCACGTGCTGAACACAGGAGCTCTCCCAACCCTGTACTTTTGGGTTTTTATGGAGGCCCCACTTCATTACATAGGCACGACTGATTAAATCATTGGCCATTGGTGGTTGATTCCACCTCCAGCCTCTCTCTCCTCCCCAGAGGCCAGGGGTGGGATGGAAAATTCCAACCCTCTAGCTGTATGGACAACCAGCCCCTTCCCTTGGTAGCTTTCCAGAAGTCACCCCATTAACAGAAATTCAGATGCAGTTGAAAGAGTCTTGTTATGAGAGTCAGGAAACCTTCATCTTCTTACCAAGTAGGAAATCCCAAGGGTTTGAGGAATTCTGTGCCAAAAAAGCGGGTCTAAGACCAAATATGTATTCCTTACTAGAAACCCCGTATCGCAGGCAGCCGTTAACGATCTGCGGTTTCTGTAGAGGCGAGGCGATGAGGGCGCCCGTGGCCGCCTTGCTCAGCTCTCAGCCGGGCAGGTGCCCCGCCGGCCCGGAGCCTAGGCGGCATGGGTATTTGGCGGGAAGCAGGCGAGGCTGCACGGACTGATCAGAGGGATGGATCGGGGGCTGATGTGGGAACCCGGCCGCCCTGCTGCACCGCTGTGCTTGGTCCACCGTCAAAGCTGTGATGTCTCAACCGATGACCGAATCCAGCTTTTTGGGAGTGAATCCTAACTCTGAATTCTCCCCTTCCCACTGCAGGCTCGGCGAGAGAGCGCGGGGCTGCGCGTGGCCCCCGCCCCAGCCATGCCGGCCGCCCCCGCCCCCGCAGCCAAGACCTGTGATGGGCCCCCGAGAGCGGCGCCCGGCTCCCCGGGCCCCGAAGGTGCAGACGGGCC